GAGGATAAAAAGGAGAGGAAGAAGAGGAAAGGTGCCTTTGGGCACCCCAAAGAGTGAGAGAGGAGGCTCTGCGAGAGAGATCCCCTCCCCCAGAGAGAAGGATCTAGGAAGAGAGACCCCAGCGCAGGATCAGAGGGATTGCAGAACCCAGACTTCGCCTTATCTTACCTTGAGTCTACCAGAGCAGCGGTGAGTGCAGGGAGAAGCGGGGCCGTGTCGCGGGCTGGAGCTGCAGCCGGCATTCAGGATCAGGGACAACGTTGAGTCAGACGGGCAGTGGGAGGGATTACCCCCACCCAGACCCCTGAAGAGTCCGGGTGACTCCAGGACCCCGAGGGAAAAGGGATACCAAGGGCTGAGCAAGCAAGCCCTGACCGGGGGGAGAGAGACGCGGAGCCTGCATGCTGAAGCCGCACTACAAAAAAAGATAAGCGGCGTGTGTGTAACAAGCCGCTAATTGGTCAATTAGCGGCCGGAATTGAACAAAAGGAAACTTTTTTTTTTTTTTTTTTTACTTTCTTTCAACTACGGGGTAGGGGGGAAGCGGGCTAGGACTCAGGAAAGACAGAGAAGCCTGGAGACTCCCTTCGCTGGGCAGAGGTTGAAGAAGAGACCCTATGGACCTTGATTCTTCAGTGCTGACACAAGCAAGTAGGCACACTACTGCACTTACTGCTACAAGTAAGGGGCCAGAGGTCCTCTGCTGAGAACAGAGAGTGACCCAGCTGGGATTCAGGATTAACCCTTCGGACTGTGATTCAGCTCCTCCCTTAAAGGAGAATTTCCTGTTTAAACTTGCAAACCACTGAATAAAACCTTAAAGGAAAAAAACAAGTTATTCTAGCGTGCTGCTTCCTACGGGTACTTCCTCGGGTAACAATCACTTCCTCCCTATGTTTATTTCTTTAAGATCCAAATTGTGGCAGGCAGGAAACACAAGGATAAAGGGGGTACTCCACAGACACACTAACAGTCTACCATTGTTGTCTTGTTATATTATGCGTAGTTGTGTGTTTGTTAGGTCAATAAACCTTTCTTACCTTTTTACCCCCAACCACTCTCTCAATCCTGAGCCCTCCCGCTGGCTGCTGAGACACCCATGAAGGAAGCCCCTCACGCTGGTGGCCAGCACCTACCCCCTGAGACCATGGGCACCGAGGCCAAGCCAAAGGCAGGTCCAATAGTGGAGCCCCCACCCGATGATCTGGGGGAGACAGGGGCCTTGGGACCAGGAGCCCCCCCAGGCTGGGGCCACATGTGCTCACACCAGTACTGAGACGGGGCAGGACTACAGTGTTGCAGTTGCCCCCGCAGCCACAGCTCTTGCCAGCGAATCCCATCCCATCCTGTTTGGCCAGCTGGGCTTGCAGGGTGTGAGATTTGTGCAGGGGGGTATGGGGGGGCAGGGAGAGGGAAGGAGTTTGGGAGGTAGGTGTAGGGTTTATGGGTGAGTATAGGGTTTGGGGGGGTATGGGGCTTAAGGGGGTGGGGAGAATTGCTCAGGGGAGTGGGTCAACAGCCGTCAGAGTGTTCAGGGCTCACTACTGGCAGAGCCCCCCTTGCAGCAAAGTAGGGTCCTAGCTGCCTGGGACCTGGCACCGCCTATGCCATATGGTGTAGGCCTGGCCCAGTGTGAGCCAGCTGGGGAGCCTACACCTTCAGGGAGGACCAGGCTGCTCTTGCTGTCACCTGGGGTCCCGGAACCATATGCAAGAGCCGTGTGCCAGGCAGGGCCAGGTCTTTTCTCCAAGTATCCCATAACCCATCAGGTCAGGCCAGCTCCATGGAAGCAGGACCCAGCCCAGCCTGATGCACAGCTCTTGCACATGGTGCCAGGACCCCAGGTGACATCAAGGGCAACCTGGTCACACCCAGAGGCGCATGCCCCCTGGCCAGCCCACGCCAGGCCTATGCCATGTGGCCAGGCGACGCCAGGTTTCAGGTGGCCAGGGCGGCACTGCACCACTGGAGGGCTCTGCCAGTAGTGGGCCCTGAGCACCCTGATGGCTGCTGCTGAGGGGGCAGGGGGGACCCATCCCTCCCGAGCAGTCCCTTCCCCCCCACCATGAAACAGTCCCCCCACACCCACTTCCTTACTTGCCAGGGACAGCACCTGGGTCCGACTGACTGCTACAGCCTTGCCCCACTCCTATTTGCCCCAGCTGGCTGAGGCGGTGTGCTGGAGCAGCTAGGGAAGGGGGAGCACATAGAGACGCTCTGGCCAAGCGCCAGAGCATCTTTCTGGAGGACCCAGCCTCTGGTTGGTTCAGGGCAAGCTCCAGGAGCATGCCCTCAGCTTCTTTTTTTTTTTTTTCCAGTGTGTATTTTCTTGATGCTGGGATTTCCTGGTATCAAATTTAGAGTCCACACTGCAAATATGGCACATGTTCACTTGTCTGGACACAGCCAAAGTGTTTTTCATAAAATATTTTATATCATGAAACTGAATATTTAAAAAAATGCTCTTAAAAAAAACCCAAACAAGTAGAATCAATTACAAAAAAAGTAACTTACAGCTTTGTATTTCCTGGCTTGCTCAGAGGAATGTCTCTGTGGTACACTATTATCCTTACTATAGTCCATCTTCAGCAAAACCACAGCAGGACTTTTGGGTTTAGGATCAGCCATCTTCCTATGAGTTTTGGCTGCTTTTCTTTAAAGAAAATGGCAAAAAGAAGATTGGGTTTAGATTCCCTCATTAAATAGGTGCATCCAGTTTCAAAACCAAAATTATAAAGATATTATAAAAATTTAAAATATTTTTCACTAGCATTATTTTCCAGTTTTGTGTCTAGTTTGTTATTTTCAAATATGCACTATGAAGTTAAATGCTACCATTCTGATTTCATAACAATTTATGGCTTTTCTCTCTAGGTGCAATATTTGGCCATAAACTTTATTGCCCTGTTGGCTCATATTGGGGACTAATCAAGTAGCTAATCAAGTATGATGAAGAGAAAATGTTACATTTAACTATTTTGTCCAACAGCCAGGTACAAAAAAGGTGAAAAGGGATTTGTCTTTGGCAATTTCAAATTATGATTAAATGAGCTCAGCACCATTATATCTTCATTTATATTTGATTATCTGTTCTTTTATTGGTATTTATTGGTTGTTCTCTTCATCGCACTTTACAGCTGATCTTGATCACAGGTTTGCTATGCAAATTGGAATTTGTACAGATAATGCATCAATCAGATGATTTATAATTTTTTCAAATTTCAGTGAACCATTTCATTTTTTGCTATTACCTTTAAGTTCATGATCTCCTTATTCTCTGACCTTATTTGTTCATTCTAAAAGATTCAACAGGGGAAAAGTAGTGGGGGATTCTTTTCTTTTTAAAGGCACAGATACTTGAACTGGGCAAATGCAATATTTGGGGGAACGTTTCTTTATGTTCAGAATCTTCCCTCCCAATTAAAGCTTTTCCACTTTCTTTCACTGCCTGGCATCAGCCTGTGCAAGATTTTATATGTTCCAGTCTGAAAGCTATTCTCTCATTCCTTCTTATATACCCATAATGCTCTTCTTCCACGTGAAAAAGATGAGCAGACAAGCCCTTCAGAAACAGATCTTAGACTCAGCAGAAGGGTAGTGCTCATACAGCTGTCTTCTCTCCACCCCACAACCCTAGTGCATCACTGTTACAAGGATGTATGTGGTAGCCATGCAGAAAAAGGTAACGTTTTTGCAATTTCTCACTTGGTCTAATAAAAGGTATCATCTCTGAACCAAGAGTTCTGGATTTTTGCATTTCTTTTTGTCTCAGACCAACACGGCTACCAAATACACTGGAAGGTGCTGAATTTTAGCCGATTTTGGATTATAAATTTCACTACTGAACAACGAGAAAAATTTCTATACCTCCCTGCCTGCTATCTTTTTACCATCTTTTACCTTCCCCAAGCCTGATGAAGGGTGTGTGAGCCTAAAAGCTTGCAGAAAAAGACTTTTTTTTTTTTTTTGCAATTTCTCAGCTGTTCTAATAAAAGGTATCATCTCTGAACCAAGAGTTCTAGATTTTTGCACTTCATAGTTACAAGAGATTTCAACTTTTCCAGTGCTGACCTCTCATGACTATTCCCCAATCCAGGTCTTCTACATCACAGCTTCTATTCTAATATAATAAAAGCCTTAGTCTGTTTGTCAATCTGTCCGGCCGTGATGCTGCAAGCCAAGTGTACACGCACCGATTGGCTGTGAAGGCCCGGTGCATTATGGACAGAGGGGGTGAGCGAGTAAGGGAGCCGCCGCGCTGCCTCTCCTCCTCCCCCCAACAACAGCCTGCAGGGAGAGGGAGGGGAAGAGGAGTTCCAGTGGCAGCGCCTCCTGCTGCACCTCCCTCCCCACTGCTGCCACCGCCACCACCAACAGCTGGCAAAGGGGGAGGCAGCAGTTGGGAGAGAGAGAGGAGCGGGGACACATTGTGTGCTGCTAGGTGTCAGCGGCTGTGCAAGCTCCCTTCCCCACCATACTTGGCAGCTGGCAGAGGCACAGGGTGGAGCGGCAGGGGCTGGGGGAGGCACACAGGGCCGGAGGCAGAGTGTTGGCACTGCAGGGCGCTCAGTGGTGGCACTCTGTCCCCGCCTGTCCCGCCCCCCCCCTTCATGATGGGCAATTTAGTAGTGTTACTTTATCAGTTACAAAGGTACAGTGACATTCTCCAGGTTTCAACAATCAAAAGTTGACCTTTCATTTTCTAAATAAAACTGTTAATCAAGGAACAGTCTGCAGGACATTTATCACTTTAGAATTCTTTACATCCACAAATAAAATCTTTTTCCTTATCTTTTGAGGACAGCAGGGCTTAATGAATTTAACCTTGGCAATCTCCCAGTTAAGTGAGTTTTATAACCATTTTACTGATGGGGAAAATTGAGGATCAAAGAAATTAATCTTGAGCAAGTCACTGCAGACTCAGACTCCTAGTTCTGATATTATCTTCTTCACAAATTTTAACCTTCTAAAGTTACTGATTGACAGGAACCAAAGAATCATCACATCATTACTTTAAGACAAACAATGGCTGTGTTTGTTTTAACAAATAACATGTCTTTTTGTTGTGTAATAGAAGAAACATCGATTGTATTTTCCTTTATGAACAATTAGAAAACATCTTACACTTTTGTGGCTTCCAAAAACAAAGTGATTTGGTGTTTGATATAAGGTTGCCTTAGTATGGTCTTCACGCTGGGTCTTTCCTCAGGCTTTTTGCTAAGCATAGTTCGTATCAGCTCTACTAGTTGTGGGCTATAATCCTTTGGCATTGGTGGCAACTATAAAAAATAATGAAAGGATAACTGTTGTATGATAGTAATAAATGGACTGCTATCCTCTCAATATGGAATCTGATGAATGCTTTAGACATTCAGATCATGCCACCAACATTCAGCAAACAAAAACATGGAATAGATTTGTCTAGAGGAGCAAGTATTGCACTATTTAATCACTATGGAACAGATTTGGCTAGGTTCTAAGCACAGGGAGTAGTCCTACCAAGATCAATGACACTGCTTGCATGCTTATAGATGATAGCTTAAGTATCTTCCTTAATGGAACCAAGAACACCTAAAGATTTTGCACAAGATTCCTCATAAATTTTTCTTAGAAGCCATGAACAAAACATTAATATTGCATATACATATGAAGAAAGTTCTATGTTAATATGTATTCATCACATTTCAAGAAAGATATTCAAAGCTGTTCAACTATGCTTTCTAAGATTTGCCAACTAGAATTTTGTCACAGGGGCCTTCATTTCCCCCTCTCTGCCCCCAAACACACAATTTGTCATGGTTGAAGCTCAAGATTTACCATATTTACCCAAATCCAAGATTGCTTCAAAGTTAAGATAATCTCCTAAATAATTAGATTCTATACATGGACAATATATTTAGATTATATACATGGATCACAGGGAAGATCAATTTAAGATGACCCCCAACAATATATAATTGTCCATGTATAGAATCTAATTGTTGGGGGTCATCTTAAATTGATCTTCTCATTGCTGTGGCAAAGAAAGCAGCGGTAGGGTTGAGGAGCCAAATCCCTGCCACTTGCCCTCCCTGACTGCCACTTGCCCTCCCTGCCTGCCACTTGCCCCCCTGTGCTTGTGCCCTACCCCTTGCCTCCCCACCTCTAATTTCCTCCAATCTGTAGGAATTGAAATGACCCATTTCCTACGAAGGTGAAAATAAAGAAACTCTGATGATACCCTCAAACTAAAATATGTTTTCTGTATCTACCACTTCATCAGTAGAAAAGTGTACTACATACGATATTAAAATGAACATGACAACATTTGGTTTTTGTTTACACCTCATGATCCAAAAAGGAGATGAAATTCATTTTTGACTAAAATTAATTCTCTCAAATTCCAGATATAACAATAGACTACAAGTTTTGAATCTATAGTTCTACAATTAAGAATGTAATCATAGTATTTTTTCCAAAATATTTTCACCAAACAGCTTAAGATCAACTTTTACCTTTCCTTCAATAATTTGATAAACAAGAGAGTTCATGTCTTTAGCATTGAAGGCATGTTTCAGTGTGGCCATTTCATAAACACAACATCCTAAAGCCCAAACATCAGACTGTGAAAGGAAAACCAGAAAAATAAGTGTAAGAATATTATATGGAATATGGAAAGTTTATTTTAATATCCTCTTCATGAGCATATGCTGACATCATGCTGAGATGACAGTTGCCATAATTAAGAATGCAGCAAAATCCATTATGACAGCTTTTGGCCCCAAATCCCATAACTTTGCTTGTCTCAACTGGTTCATCCTGAATATATGCTACATTTTCTCTAAAAGCTAAGGAGAAATTTTCTACAAAGTCTAAAAGCAAGTTGGTATGATTCTGAGCTGCCAATCATTTAAAAGAGAATTATCCTGACCATGTGGTGGCACAATAAGCAGTGCTACTACGCAGAGACACCTGCCTCACTATGCCAGGCCCAAAACTTTGCTTTGAAGGTCTCCCTTGGGGAGCTTATAGCTGGTTGTCTCGCTACATGGAGAACCCCTGCAAGCCTAGGGGTAATGCTGCCACCACTGATCTCTGGCTAGGCTCTGTGCAGCCTGGGGCACACAGACCCTGAGAACCTAGGGGGTGTTTTGCCCACAGTAATATTTATGGGCTGCTTTGGGCTGAAAGAAGCAACCCCAAGATAGCATCAGGAAGAACTGAGGGAAAATAAAAAGACAAATTTTGCTGGGTAGGCAGGGGTGGAAGGCCTCTCCTCTTCTCAGTGTCCAACAATGTAGGATGTAACCCGATACCTTTATTGAGCAGGGGGTGGGGGGCAGGGGGAATTGGACAGGGAAGTCAGAATACACTTTGAGCAAACAAAAGCAACTTGAGTCTTTACAGAGACTGGATACAGTGACCCTTTTAAGATACAACTTGCCTATACATAACACCTAACTCCTGGCAGGTTTCCAGGTTTCTACTTACAGAAATCACTAGGCCACTGCTTGGGGTATGCACTTGTAGCTTCCAGGTGCCCACCGGAAGAAAGAGAAAACTCCTCTCACTCCCCCTAGGAATTGTATCTAGCCAGGTTACCTGATTGACTAGCCTGATCCAAGAGGAACAGGAAGGGAGAGGGGTTACCTAGGCTGACCCAAGGGAAGGTCAGAGTGAGGGGGAGGGGATTTCTTCACAGACCCATCCCTGAAATTTGATTTCTATTAACTTTCAGATTTTCTGCAACTCTCTCTCAAGCTTTCCATACAATTAAATCTCACTGAAAACAAACACAACTATCACTGAATAAAATGGACTGCAATTAAGCAAAGTTATTATCATGCTGTAAGTCTCAATCCTGCACAGGTCATTCTGCCAGGTGGAGCTCTATAAACTTCAAAGTAGCTTTGTAACAATAGAGTCCATCCACACAAATTATGATTCAGAATCTGAGTTTCTGCATGTACATATATTCTAGTCTGGTGATCACCTGCAGCTTGGAGAAAGCTGGCTCTTTCTTTATTTCAGTATACTAACTGAAGACTTTTTATTAGCTCAAGCTCACAATAGAGCCTTATGTTGATGGTACACTTGGTTCTGCAGCTGAAACTGAATTATTCTACAAGGGCAATTCCTTTTTTTTTGCTATCCAGTAATTTATTTCACACTTAGAAGAAGGACTTCAAAAACAATAAGAATACCAAACCACTGACCATTCTTTACTTATTTGTTCCAGTAACTGTAAACACTTAACTTCAGTTTTTAAAAAAAAACTGTAATATCTCTTATTACTTATATTTTAGCAATTGTAGTGATAAGAATGTAACCAACAACAAATTTAAGTTTGTTTTATACTGCAGTAGCCTAATACAGACTTAAGAAATTGTTTTTCCTTTTTACTTGCCAGTCTATTGATAAATCCTGGCCATAACAGCAACGCATGCACTGTAGAATAGTTTGTTTCTTACATTATCTTATTTTTTTTCAAAGTATTATTTTTCCTGTAGATAATACTAAAAAAACCCCAGCAGCAGCAAAATACATCAGCTTTCTCCTCAAAAACACCTCTTCCTAAAACACAAGACATCATACAGTTCTGACAAAGAGGTAAACACAATAACTCATCTATTTTTTTCTAGTTAGTTTTGAAAGGTTACATGAAGTCAACTAACATACTACCGATAACATACTCTACCTTGTAGTTGTAAGGTTTGCTAGAGAACAGTTCAGGACTCATATAGTAAGGTGTGCCAATAAGAGTACTGGCCATATCGTACTGATTTTCTAACACTCTGGCTATTCCCAGATCTCCCACTTTGATTATATTTGTTCGTGTCAGGAAAACATTTTGCGTTTTGAGATCTCGGTGTAGAATGTGTTTTTCATGTAAATACTGAAAAATAAAATATTTACAGCCAAGTTGCAAGTTAACCAACAATCAATTTGTTCTTTTCCACTGAAATAAAACCATGCAAGGCAGACAAAAGCATACAAATACAACAAACAACGTATTACTAAACAAGACATGAATTACAGCCCCCATTAGTAAGTTAGTACAGATAATATAAGCCTATACATATTATTTATTTTTGCTTTCATATGATCTGCCCATTTGAGGTTTTATGCTCTAAGTACCCAACAGAAACAAGAAATACAAAATGAAAGCTCAACCTGTTATTTACTTTCCACTACAATTCATTTAAATCCAATCCTGCAGTCCTACCTCAATCTACATTCCTTTTTGCTGATGATGTAAGGTTGGTAGAAATTCCCCACTCTGCCCCCCAAGTAGAATCTATGGAATCAGGCTTACAATAAGCAAAATCAGCTCCTAGTACAGATTTCTGTATAACAGGGCATTTTGGTTACATTAATGCTTTTCACTCCAATTTCTTATATTTCATATTTAAATTAAACCTTTATTATACTAATATTTGTATAATTTAATTCCTTTCATGTTCTTAAAATATAAGATGAAAATAGTTTTCAGGAGAAATAATGGGTTAAGGGTCAGAAAATTTCACTTTAAAAATAAATTTAAATATAGAAGCAATAAATGCTTCTGAAAGCAGACAGCTTTTTAGTACCAACATTTTTGGTTTACGTTAAATTAAGTTTCAAGATGGAAGGAGATTCTATAATTCAGCAGCAAGCCCTTGGAAACAGAGGATTATAAATATTAGAAATTAGAACTCTTTAACTAGACAATGGCTTGCTTATGTGACTAATTTAGAACTCTGTTTATTAGTATAGGCTATCATAACAATTATAACAATTAATTGTACTCCACAATGTCATTTCAAAGGCAGTGCAAAGTAAATCAGTGAGCTATGACTCCAGCTGTAATTTATCAATAGTATAAGGATTGTCATGCTAAAGAGATGCAAGTACAGTATACAGACTAAAGCAGTGGCGGCAGGCATGTCACAAGTTATGCCCCACCCTTTTCCTAAGTCTGATCCCTGCCCCCCCAGATGTCTACCTGATAGAGTTAGCCCCAGAGCCCCAGAATGGAGGCAAAGGGTCTTAAGTGTATGGCCACATGGAATAGACTGGATGAAGGACAATGATGTGGAGAGGTACCAGGACCAAGAGCCAGGTTAACCCTTTCCAGGTCTCAGCTGCCACAATTTTATATAGCAAGTAAGGATCCAAAGCCCTGAATTTGGAAGTGACTGCAGGGCCAGAAAAGGGTCAACTTGTCTGTGACACCCCCTCCCTCCCCAAACACACACTTCCTCTCAGCAGCATCCTCCCCCTGCTCTGCTCCTCAGAGTGCTCCTGTACCTCCTTTCATGACACAGAGCAGCTTCCAATGCCACCTACGGCATGCATGCATGCTACAGGTTGACCACCTCGGGCTAAAGCAGCTACTTTTCATAGATTTCATAGATATAAGGGCTGGAGCAATGCTTCATGAGTTTGATAATAACTATAATTGGTCAACATTTCTAATAGACTGTTGTATCTAGATGCCAACACTAGCAAAACCACAACTTGAAATTATATAGATAAAATTGAAATTTTGAAGGTTTTGTAGAAAGACAGACCAGTATTTTAAAATTAAGAGGTTTAATTACCTGCAGTGCCATGGCAATCTGGACAAACCACTCTACCACCCGAGTCTCTGGTAAAAGTTTGCCCTTCTGTTCTTTAAGTTTACGATAGAGGTCTCCTCCTTCACAGAAGCCCATAACAATATATAATAAACCATCTTCCCCTTCCCAGGACTCCCGGTAGGTGACTATGTTGGGGTGCCTCAAGAGAGACAAGAGCTGGGCCTCTTGTTCTGCTGCTTTCCTCTCTCGCTTGGAGGCATTTTTAAGGTTTAGCTTTTTGATGACATACTGTAGAGAAAAATAAGAGATGAAAATCCAACCTATTAGATAAAACTACTGCCAAATTCTAAAAATCTAAAAAAAACCAAATACATAAACAGATCATTATATATGGAAATTACAATTTATATACAACTGTTCATTATTATATCAAATACGACTAAATCCTATTAGTCTACTTCATAATAAGTGTTTATATAATTTTAAGGTTTATTATCACAGGGCACTAAGGTGCCTACTCCTCTTAGAGCAGAGATTGCCCGGGGAGAGAGAGCACAAAGAGCCAGATAAGAACCCAGGTGCAGGTTGCCGTGACAACCAGTTAATGCTGGAATTGGCCGCAGCTGCACCTGGTCAGTTGGCCGGAGGACGCAGGGCCCTAGGCCCACATAAACCCCAGGCCTTGGACCAGGCAGTTGGTTTCCTATCAGTAGCTGAAGGGGAAGGAGTGTCCAGAGATGTGATAGCTGGCAGATATGCTACCCTTTGAACAAAAGGGATACCAGGAGCCCATAAGGTATCTTTGTGTACTAGGCAATGAGCCTCAGAGAGGGAGTTTTACTCTTTTAAAGAGGTAGAGCATGATGTGAATTCTGTGTTATGTTACAGCCCAGGGACTCAGGGTGGTTGGCTGTTGTTTGTGTGCTGTCTGATAACACTGGGGGTTTGGGTGAGGCTATTTGGGGAAGGAGGAGGCCTCACTGGGGGGGCCCACTGCAGTGTGGGGAGCCCAGTGCTGAGGAGTGTAGAGACTAGGTAATGGAGAGCTCAGTGCTGACAAGGGGCTGAATTATAATGAGGCCTAGGCAGGACAATGCCAGTATCATCTGTGAGGCTTGGGGTGTGGTAGAGGGATGGTTGGAGCCATGCATATGACCCATAAGGCTGAGAGACTTGGGAACTGTCCACAGTGAAACAATGTCAAGGGGTCTAGAGACAAAAGGGTTATTAGGATCTAGCCAGACTGTGCCCAAACCTAATGCTCAAGGGCAGCCCCCCTATATTCATCATACCAACAAGACATGGTGGGTGAGAATGAGGGTGCTTGTAGGGCAAGACTGACATGGTTAAGGACTGCCACCCCTAGGCACCCTACCCTGCTACATTTCATAACTGATTAAAACATTAAAATATTTAGATTGTGCTGTTTCCCTTTTTTTAAAACAACTGGCCATTGGTTACCCATGCTCAAGTCTTAACACTGAAATACTTTTGCATAGTTCAGAAAGTCATTCTTCTCAAAAAGGTGACTTAACTTCTACTTGCTTCCAATAAATGGAATTGTAAATGCACAACAAAGACTATGTAAATAAGCTTATTCTAGTATAGGAAGTTAAAGTCCAGAAGTGGCTAATCTCATTCTGTTTGGGGGGGGAAAAAAATCTTGAATTTTTTTACAAAAGCCACATGCTTCAATAAACTCCAGAAAACAGCATTTTACTACAAGATGGCTAGAAGGCTGATCAGATGTGGTTTTAACCACCTTCTGCTGTTATGTACAACTCAGAGTTCCAAACATTTTTAAAAAAAAAACAACAAAAAACTTCTAGCACTGAAGAAATTATGAACTCATAACTGCACAAAATCCTCACTAAACCTTATCAGGTTAGACTTTCCTTTCCAAAACAAAGTATGGACATGGTAAAGAGTTCTGCAGTCAAGCAGGCTAATGACCGTTAAGTGCAAAAGGCAAATCTATTAAAAGATGGCAAAGCTTCTGATACCAACAGGTTAGGAAGAAAAAGAATACTACCAAGAACAAAAAGGGAGAATGGAGAGAGAAAAAAAAATGTTTTTTTTTTAATCTTTAAAATCTGGAAAAAAGAATAAATTAGATGATTCGATCAATGAAAAACTTATTCTATACCAGTCATAAAGAAATACTGACACTTACAACATGAGCTTAAAGATGACAAGAAGAGGTTCTAAAAGTTATGGTGGCCAGAAAAGAAAAGAAAAGTAAGCTGTAGGTCCAAATGTTAACTAGCCAGTGGGAACTCTTGCAAGAAAATGTAAAGGCAGGAAGTGGCTGTTGAGTAATTGTCTCAGTATTCACAAAAAAATTAAGCTGTAGCCAGATACTTGATAAGAATTATCTGGATAAAGAAGGAGGCATGCTGAGGGATGAGGTAACAAAAGAGATGGTCAGAGAGCTTTTGATGGGTCTGAATGAAGTCAAATCATCAAAGCCTAATGATTTTCACCCTACGGTAGGGTTAGCATACTTCAAGTTTCAAAAATAGAGGATGCCTGGCCCTCTATTGGGGGGCGGGGTATATGACTGAGGAGGGGGGAGTGATATGCCCATGCCCTGCCCCTGCCCCTGCCCTGCACTCCCAACCCACAGTACTCCACCCCCCAGAACATGCTGGTGCCCCTCACTACCAGGTTAAGTACAGACAGTCAAAATGCCTGAGGCTGAATTGATTCAGTCTTTGCAGGTCAGTTTAAGCTGCAAAGATGGAACCAATAAGCAAATCAACAGACATTCACTTTTGCTTCAGGAAATGCATCCACATGTCTGCAGTGGCTCAAGCCAGAAGCTAGGGGTGCTAAAGCACACCTCTCTGATGCATGGCCAGCATAGCCTGTGTATGCTTCCTTTTCCTGCTGCCTCTGAGGTCTCTGGGATTTGCAGTCCACAGTTGCAGCCAGCACTAAGCAAGCAGGGCAGGGCAGCTCCATATTCAGGGGAAGGGAAATTTAACTTGCTTCCCAGCCTCAGAACCCAGCAGAAGTTTGCCTGGTGGGGGGTACTGTGAGCCACTCTCCCTAGCTTCAGCAGTGAAGCAGAAGGGCAGGGCCAGTCCTGCTCTCTGGAGCAGACAGCACAGCCCAGCACACAGTGGCAAAACGCTGGGATGCTGGGGGCTGTGATTTAACCTGAATCAGGAAGGGATCTGGGACAGAAGTTTTATAACCTTGTTTGACCTAAATCACTTAAGTCTGACACTACATTCAACTACGTTTATCTTAAACCAGTTTTACCCATTTTGAAACTGGTGTATGCACACTGAACTTCTATTCTGTTACAGGTTTAAACCAGTTTATGTGTAACTTCTGTCCCTAGCCCCAACCCACAGCCCCACCACCGTCCCTGCTGATACCCCTCACTCCTGCCCCACAGTCCTGACCCAGTCTCCCATTCCCCTGGTGCCCCTCACTCCTAAGCCACAGCCCCACCCCTCCCCAATCCTGCTGGCATCCCTCATTCCTAACCCACAGACCCCAGTCCTGACCAGCCCTGTTGCACAAGCAACTCCCTGCTGCTCCCAAAGAATCCCCCCAGCCCCCACTGGAGAGGCAGATGCATCCCCCATCTCCCTGCCCTGTTGGTGTCCCAGCCCCAGCTGGCACACACATACCCTCATCCCCAGAGTCCCCAGCCCTAGCTGTCCAATCCCTGCCCACACAGACTTGCCTTACTGCAGCTGTCAGGGCCATGCACAGAGTACATGATGTCCCTAAATCCAATCACCCTGCCCTGTTCCCTCCAGCCCCAGGCAGCTTCTTGCTGGGGCAAGCCGGGAAGTGCCAGGAAAGCAGAAGCAGAGCAAACCCCAAGACACTTCTTAATATTAAAAAAAAAAAAAAAAACCAACCTCCTACCCAGACACAGATGGGAGCACCCAAAAAGAGGACTTATCTGGGAAAACCTGGACATATGGTAACCCTAATTCAGGATAAAGAAGGAACTGGCAGAGGAAGTCTCGGATCCCTTGGCAATGATCTTCATGAAGTCATCAGAGACAGGTTAGGTACCACAGGACTGGGAAAGGGCCAACATAGCGCCCCTCTTTAAAAAAAGGCAAAAAGGAGGACCCACGAAACTACAGACTGACTAGCCTTATCCTCAATACCCAGGATGTTATTGAAACACATCCTAAGGAAGGCATTTGCAAGCATCTGGAGGAGAAAAAGATGATCACAAGCAACCCAGCCCGGATTTACAAAGAACAATTCATGTCAAACAAATATCATCTCCTTCTCTGACAAGCTAACTACTTGAGTGAGTGAAGGGAATGCTGTGGATATAATGTATCTGGACTTTAGCAAGATTTTTTTATAAGGTCTTGCATGACCTTCTCATAAACAATTGAAGAAATGTAGATTACACAAAACTACTATGACATGGACAGACAACAGGCTGAATAGCTGCAAGCAAGGGGTAATTATTAACAAATCCATGTCAAAATGGCAGGAGGTTTTGAGAGGAGTTCCACAGGGGTCTGCCCAGAGCCCAGTGCTGTTCAATGTGTTTGTTCATGATTTGGATTCTGACATAGAAAGCTTTTTGAGGAAGTCTTCAAGTGACACAAAACTAGGAAGGACTGCAAGAATGGTGGAGGACAGGAGTGCAATTCAGAAGGAACCTGACAGATTGAAAAGCTGGGCTGAAGCTAACAAGATGAAGTTTTTGCAGACAAATTCAAGGTGATTATTCAGGAAGAATAATCAAAAACACAAATATAAAATGGGTTATACCTGGCTGAATGGCAGCATTACGGAGAAAGATCTGGGAGTCTTGTTAGATCACAGACTCAATATGAGTTTGCAATATGATACAGTTGCACAAAAGGTGAATGTAGTTTTGGGATGCATTAATGGAAGCATTAAGTGCAAGACCCAAGAGATGATATTGCCTTTGTACTTGGCACTGGTTAGGTCTCACCTAGAGTAATTGGTGAAGTTTTGGGCTCCCCATTTTAAAAAGGACATGGAGAAGTTAGACAAAGCAGAGAGGCAGGGATGGAGTTGATAAAAGGCTTAGAAAGCAACTCCTACAAAAAGAGGCTGAAAGAGCTCAGCATGTTCAGCTTGCAAAGGCACTTAAGAGGGGACATGATGGCAGTCTTCAAATACTTGAGGGGCTGCCATAAAGAAGAGGGAAAGCACCTTTTCTCTCTCACTGCAGAGAGGAGGATATGAACCAATGTCTTGAAGTTGCACCAAAGTAGATTTAGGTAGGCTAACAGTGAAGAAGTTTCCCTGATAAAAGAGTGAAGCTGTGGAACAGACTGCCTCAGGAAGTTGATGACTCATCATCACTCGATGAAGTGTGTTCAAGAAGAGGTTGAGTCACTGGTTATGGAAGATATAGGCATTAAGCGTGCACCGATATATTGGCTGGCTATCGAATCGGTACCACTAAAAGAAGAAATGATGTCACCGACTATCGGGTTTTCTTGGTGGTTGTAGCAAATAATTATGGCCACATGTCCAGAGCACCCTGGTGAGCATAGTCCAGCCCCTGCGCCAAATTGTCAGCCCAAGCCTGTAGCGGACTACAGGTCCCAGCAAGCAGCGGGAAGGGGAGTGGGTGCCGGGGAGTGGTCAGAGGGCACTACGCTCCACAACAAAGGGACTATTACTGGATCCTGCTACTACTATGGCAATGCTCATGCTCACTCAGCAGGGGCCTGAGTGCTGGGGCTGTGGCAAAAATGTTGGGCTGCGGGTGGGTGGGGTAAGATGCTGCACAAGGGATATGCTGTGCAAGGGATATTCTGCTCTGCCAGGCACCAGCAGTCTTTGCAGAAATGGCTTCTCCCTGTCAGCTGTAGGAGCTTGGTTGTGTGGGGCCTGCCAGTACTGAGACAGCAGCATGCTCTGGGGCTCCAAACATGCCCAACACTGCTGTCCACGCAAGGTCCACCCTGCCCAAGATGGCTGCATGGGTAGTAGGGCTGTGGATAGGAGCCATGGGTGAGGGGGCAACATGCATGATAAGGCGGTTGCTGCCTTCCTCATGGAGGGCTAGAGCAGACGGGAGGCACACGTGTTACAAATGCAAAACAAACAAGAAAAAGGGTTGTTTATGTCAGTAACTTAAACTACGTTGCACTATTACTAAATATTGGCTATCAGATCGACATTGGCTGATATGGTTGGCTAATCATTACCTATTGGTATCAGCCAAGAAAATCTTTATCGGTGCAACCCTAGTGATTGTGCCTGTGTTCTATTATGAGTATCCCCCATGTTTTTGGGCTTTGCTGGTTGTCCCCTCCCTACCTTTCTGCCACATGTCAGGGTGTTTCTAAGCCTTCCTCAGTCATTGGCTGTTGGCTGCAACCAAGGATGGGGATTTTGACTGGGATGTGCCAATGCTCCTGATGGGACTGAAGCTGGAGGTTCCTGGCTAAGGCATCTTGCCCTTCCACCCAGGGTCAGATCAATCACCATATTTGGGGTCGGGAAGAAAATATACACCATGGTCAGACTGGTTTGCAGGGGGCTTTGCCTTCCTTTGTAGCAGGGGGCATAGCCCCCTGCAAGCGATCCCGAGGCTCATATTAACAACTTTTTATAGAATCAGGACATCGGCTGTTGTGGTTCCCCTGCTTTACCTGGGCCAAGTTAGGGTGTTAGGTCTTGTTAACAGTATCTTTACAAAAAGCTTAGTTTATATTTCTATAGGATGGCTTGGATAGGG